AAACAAAAAAAAGAAACAAAAAAAATTAAAGTAGAAATAACCCAAAATAAAACTATTAAAGGCAAAAACTGAACACAGTAACTTGTGCTCCTAAAATTGATGGAATAAAAACAATCTTCTTGATAAAATTGAAATACACAAAATTTGAATTAGAAAAATTAAACTTGGTGGAAATAGTCACAGAAGAAAATCCACAAAGGCAGAAGCTATAATTGGTAAAATCTGGTATAGGCTCCCAAAGTAATAAAAAAAAAATCTAATATGGACAATTATTTTAACATAATTGACCTCAAAAAATCAGTAAGTTAAAACTTCAGAGAAAAATTATGATCACAATTAAATTGAAAACTGTTAATCGTGTTGTAAAATACTTACCTAAGAATTAAATAGGCTTATAGGATGCAATTTTAGGTAAAAATATTTTCTCAATAAAAATTTGTCACTGTTTACATAGTTACAATTGAAATGTGTAGTCATAAATATAAAATCCAAGTGTCCTGAGTCAAAATGGGAGTAAAAACATCTAAAGTCCAAAAGACAACTATTTTGGGACATTCCTCTTCTAAATCAATATGGACAGATACTACTTCAAGTACCTGAGTATTACCTTAGGTAACTTTGGTGGGGAACTATAAATTGAATTACAACATACATGTAGAAAAGTGTACAAATGATAAATTACACAGCTTGATCAATTTTCACAAATCAGACGTATCCACGTAACTAATACTCACATCAAGACAGTATCTAGGTACTGTCTTGATGTGAGTATTAGTTACATGGATACGTCTGATCTGTGAAATGCATCCATAGTACCCCTTTCTGGGCACCTGCCCTGAAGGGTAACAACTACTCTGACTTATAACACCATAGATTTGCTTTGTCTATTTTAAAACTTTATAGAAATAGGTTGTATAATGTATGTTCTTTTTTATGTCTGGCTTCTTTCACTGAGCATTACTTTTATAAGGTTCATCTATAGGGTCACAAGTAATTCCGTTTTGCAGTTTGTATTACTATTAAGTTATTTCATCATGAAAAGATAAAATCTATTTACCCATTCTACTGTTGATGAGCATTTGGGCATGTAAGCAATGTTTTAAATGTTTTAAACTAAAACACTGTCACAAGCAAGTAAGCATATGTTCACTGCAGGAAAAAAAAGTACACACATACACACACACACACACACACTCACTCACTTGGAAAAAGCTTTTATAATTCCATGGTATAGGGATAATGATATTTTGGGATATCTCTACATACATTTCATTTAATGTACCATTTACAAGCCAGTTACTTAAATGAATAGCAATGCCTCTCTCTCCTGCTAATACAGGTTAATAACAAACTTAAGATTTTTTTTTTTTTTTTTTGAGACGGAGTTTCGCTCTT